CACCCCTCCACAGAGGCTTTTCCATGTGGAAGAGCCATGAAGGAGAGAGGATGGAGGAGTTGGCCCTGGACACCAGGAGAATTCCTGTCTCCAGGACTGTCAGCAGGAACATGCCCTCATTATTAACATTTTGATGTTGGAGACACTTCCAAGCCAAATTGCTGCTTTCAAAGCCGACTGAAAGTCCTTCCCTGGCACGAATTTTTCCCCTTTCATTTATTTTATTGCATAACCAGCAAAAAAAGCCTCAGAAAGGTTGAGTGTGAGGCAGCTTGTGCTGCTCACACGCATGGGATGGTCCCCTGCTCTCTCTGAGTCACTGAGCAGATGTCCCTCCTCCTGGGATGCATCCAGTGGCACTGGGAAGGAAAAGAAAATTAACTCATCCCTGTGAACCGAAGGATTCCAGTGGGAATTTGCACACCCAGGCATCAGATTTACCTGATTTTATCCTTTGTGGTTAAAATCACAGAGAAGAAATAAGCAGTGAAGCCATTGAAGTGCAGCTGTTCCTTCCTTGGAAATCTTTGGAAACAAATGTAAAGTGTTCCTTTTCCTGAAAAAGTTTCTTGTGGTGGTGGTGGTTATTATTATTATTATTATTATTATTATTATTATTATTATTATTATTATGGAATGGTTTGGGTTGGAAGGGCATTAAAGATCATCCAGTGCCACCCCCTGCCATGGGCAGGGACACCTTCCACCAGCTCAGGTTGCTCCAAGCCCTGTCCAACCCAGCCTTGGGCACTTCCAGGGATCCAGGAGCATCCAAAATGTCTTCAAATATCCAATCTAAACCAGCACATGGAATGGTTTGGGTTGGAAGGGATCTTAAAGTTCATCCAGTGCCACCCCCTGCCATGGGCAGGGACACCTTCCCCTAGCCCAGGTTGCTCCAACCTGGCCTTGGACACTTCCAGGGATCCAGGGGCAGCCACAGCTTCTCTGGGAATTCCATCCCAGCCCCTCCCCACCCTCACAGAGAGGGATTCCTTCCCAATATCCCATCTATCCCTGCCCTCTGGCAGTGGGAAGCCATTCCCTGTGTCCTGTCCCTCCAGGCCCTTGTCAACAGTCTCCACCTTTCACAGGTCTCTTTATCAGCCTTGGAAATTTTGGGAGGTGAAGGGGTAGCAGGAGTTAACCAGAGCACTGTCATCTGGTTTGGGAGGAGTGAGAGAAGCAACAACCCCCAAATTTTATAAAACTGATGAATTTTGTGACTCCCAAAAGCCTTTTGGTGGCAGCTCTTCAAGGTGTATCTCAAACTCACCCTCAGTGTTGCCTCAGCATTTGGGTTCCCAATCCCTGGATCCCTCCAACCTTCCTCAGGATGAACCTTCAGAGCTGGTTGGGATTCCTGGCAGGAAGGAAAACGTGAAGCAGCTCCTGGTTAGTCTGAGGAACTCATTTAAATCCATAATGCACCCACAACCACCTTCATCTGCCACCAGAGCTGGATGGAGGCAGAAGGGAATTGCCCTGACAGAGCACAGGGGTTGGTGCTGCTGTTTAAAAATGAACAGTTGAAAAACTGATTCCATTTCCACCGAGGGAAAACACAGGAGCTGTAATAAATTCAATGCAGGTCTACATGTTTTTTTAAATCTCATTTTTTTTCCATTTTTTTCCTCTCAAATGATCAATTATGAGCTGCTGGAGTTGTTGTTTTTTTTTATCCCAGAGAAGAAATTAAGTGTTGAAATCAGGAGGGAATGGGAGAGCCATGACCTACCAGTTAGAGGTCATTTATTAGAGGTCAGGGCTTCTTTCTGCACCCAATATTTCTCCCTGTCACCTCAGAGCAAGAGCAAAGTGAGCAGCTTCACGCAGTGATTTAATGCTGAGGCACAAGGAAAGCTCCCATTAGCCCTGGTGGAAACAAGGAGAGAGACTCTGTGTCACCAGTTCTCTATGTTCTGGCCCTCCCTACCCAGCTGAAGCAACTCCCAACCCACCCCAATTAAAGCCAGAGAAGTGCAAGATGTCAGGCCCAGACTCCCAGAATCACAGAATCAATTAGGCTGGAAAAGACCTCTGAGATCATCCAGTCCAGGGCTCGTCTCACACTCAACTCCAGATCCATGGGAGCTTATCTCTTTATTCCAAGCAGCCCTTCAGCCCTGGTAATTACCCAGAGCACCCATTTCCTTATCAGCTGGAGGTGAAAATACACCTTTAGTAGTTTTTAACTCAATATAAGCCCCAAACCTTTGATGAGCTCCAGCTCTGCTGGCACCAGTCACCGTCACATCATCAGCTCCTCTGGGGAGAGAATTTGTTCCAGATTCCCTTAATTAACTTCTTCTGCCTCTCCCTTGCCCAGAAACCAAGCTCCAATCACGTCTGGCTGGTGCAGCAGCACGACAGAGCCGGGGCTGTTCTGTGTCACTGCAGACACCACACTCTGCACAGGGCACACATAATGCACTGGGCTTGTTCCTAATTCCTTAGTCCTTATTCCTTAATCCTTAGTCCTTTTTCCTTAGTCCTTAGTCCCTGTTCCTTAGTCCTTGTTCTTTAGTCCTTATTCCTTATTCTTTATTCTTTATTACTTAGTCCTTAGTCCTTGTTTCTTATTCCTTATTCCTTATTCTTTATTCCTTATTCCTTAGTCCTTTTTCCTTAGTCCTTAGTCCTTGTTCCTTGTTCTTTATTCCTTATTCTTTATTCCTCATTCCTCATTCCTTAATCCTTATTCTTTATTCCTCATTCCTCATTCCTTATTCCTTATTCCTTAGTTCTTATTCTTTATTCCTTAGTCCTTAGTCCTTAGTCCTTGCTCCTTATTCCTTATTCCTTATTCCTTAGTCCTTATTCCTTATTCTTTATTCCTTATTCCTTATTCCTTGTTCCTTATTCCTTATTCTTTATTCCTTATTCCTTAGTCCTTAGTTCTTAGTCCTTGTTCCTTATTCCTTATTCTTTATTCCTTATTCCTTAGTCCTCAGTTCTTATTCCTTGTTCCTTATTCCTTATTCTTTATTCCTTATTCCTTATTCCTTGTTCCATAGTCCTTATTCCTTATTCTTTATTCCTTAGTCCTTAGTCCTTGCTCCTTATTCCAGGGTGGATGGTTGTTGCCATTGAAGAATAAATCCAAACCCAAGACATGAACCCCCACTGCAGACAGGTGGGTGCTGCTGTCGAGAATTCCCAGGTGTGGGATTCTCCAGAGTGCCCAGAGCAAGGAACACTCAGGAGTTCCTCCTGTGCTCAACGAGGGCTGCAGAGGTGTAAGACCCTCCCAGCACAGTAAAACAGAGATTATTCTGTTTTCAGAGTGCCCTCAAAGTGCTGGGGATGGTCCCACCACTGTCCTTTAAGGGGGGATATCAAAGCCTGGTGTCCCCAAACCCCAGGACAGCTGGCTCAGCACACCCTCCCAAGGTGGCAGGAGGTTTGGAGGCTGCTGTGGGCTGGAAATGCAGCCACAGGAAGAGTTTCTCAGTGGAAAGACACTCATGGGAAAGAGCTGCTGCACTGAGGAGTCTGCAACCCATTAACTGGGTGACTTCACCAGCCTGGCTCCCCTCCCGTGCCCACCTCCCTCCCTCTGGCTGGTTACTCAGTGCCCTCTGGAACAGGGGCTTTCTTTGCCCTGGGAACTCTGAGAGATGTTTATAAACAATATCGAAGTGCAAGAAGTGTGTTTTGAACAGTTTTGCTACATGCAAGTTCCCAAACAAGGCGGTGGTAAATAATTCTGGGTATATTTGTTTGTTTGCTTACACTGCCTTCAAAGCAACTCACCATCAACTCCCCTCAACTTGCCAGCAACTGATTTGTACTCACTGGTTCTTCTTCACTTTTTTTGGGAAATCTCAATGTATTTTTGTGGTTCAGTGCGTATTTAAGCTCTTCTCTTCCACTGCACTAATTCAGACCCTGGTCATTGAGACACAGGACAAAAATATAAAGGCTGAGGGTTTGATTCAATGTTATCACGTTCCAAGCCTGTGGTGGAAGGTGTCTTGCATCCCTTTGGGTTTCTATCACGTTGTGTGGCTCAGAAATGGGTACCAACAACCTTTGTGTGCTCTGTGGCACAAAGGGAATGCTTGGAAAACAGGACTGGAATTGGGGCAACCAACAGACAATGGATGGATGGCAAGATTCTTAATTTTTGTGGTTTAAAGATCCACCCTGGGGTGTCCTCTTAGGCCATGGCAGCAAACCAGCCCCCAGCAGACAGAATCACACCATCAGTCAGGTTGGAAAAGACCTCTGAGATCACCAAGTCCAACCTTTGACTGAATCCCACCCTGCCAAGTGATGGCAAATAGAGACTGCTCATTTTTGGAACACTTCCAGAATGAAACACCATCCCCTGTCCCAGTGCTTGACCCCCCTTTCAGGGAAAATCTCCCCCAATATCCAAAGAACATGGCCTGGAACTCTGGGCACATCAGACACTCAGTAACCTTTGCCACAGGAGATCCCTAAAACTCCTGCTCCATTTCTGGGACTCTCTGACCCCTCCTTTAAAAGGACTAATCCAATTTCTTACCCTGGTCCCTAAAACCAAACCAAGCAAGTACAGGATTGTTGCAGTTCAAGGGGACAGGATGATCCTGGATCTTTGGATCTTGAGCCCAAGGTGGTGCAAAACAACCCATAACTGGGTGTCCTGGTTAAACCTCAGCACTGGGAAAATGATGGAGAACATCTTGGTCCCTGCTCAGCACAGACAGCTGGGCTGGGGAGGGCAGCAAATGCCCCAAACCTGGCAGAACTGTGTCCCATGGATTTTTTGGGAGCACAGCTCCCAGGGATGGAATCACACAAAGGATCCGGGAGCGCCCACAAAGGTTCTGGGGGCGACGAGGTGACGTCGGGCTGAGTTAAACCCACACTGTTTGTTTCTGGGCTGTGTGCCTTTTAAAAATAGGAAAAGGTTGCAAAACAACAATGTCAGAAGGCTCTTTTTTTTCCTCCCATCCCCACTCCTGGGATGAATAATCCCGTGGCAAGATAAGTGGGCGAAGCATTACCCGATGACGTTGCTGTCGGCCGTGATTATAAACAACAATGTGAGACCTCTTGGTTCATTTTTCCCATTAAAAAACCCACTTGGTATTTGGAATGAATCTGCCAGGGAAACGCTGGTTTGAAAGTTCCACTGATGGAGCTGCAAATCATCCCCTTTGGAAGTGGTGGGGGAGAGGAGATGTTGTTTCACTTCCTGGGCTGCACGTCCGAGGCTCTGGGAAAAAATCAGCAGGTTGAGACCCAGAGGAAGGTGCTGAGCTGCACTTCTCCCCCTACCCCCCTGCACCCCTCTGCCTGTGCCTTCATTTCATTCTGCTCTGCTGGCAGGAGTCCCCCTGGGCCATTCAGTGACCAAACTCTGCCTTCAGCACATCCCCAGAGACAATCCTGGCAAGAAATGTGGGGGAAGATCGAGTGGCCAGGCCCAGAAAACTCCTGCCTGTGGCTTCTCCACAAAACTCAAGGTTCAAGAGGATTTTTTGGGATCTCTGAGTCGTAGGGAGGGAAGGAAGGGTTCAAGCATCACACCTGGGCTGTGCTTAAAGCTTTGGCTTTAATTGGCTTTAAGCTGAGGGAGGGGAGATTTAGGTTGGGTATTGTGAAGGAATTCTTCCCTGGGAGGGTGGGGAGGCCCTGGAATGGATTTCCCAGAGAAACTGTGGCTGCCTCTGGATCCCTGGAAGTGCCCAAGGCCAGGCTGGAGCAACCTGGGCTAGTGGGATGAGCTCTGGGGAAGGGTCCCAAGGATCCCAAGGATCCCCAGCAGGGACCCAGCTCTGTTGTCACTGTGGTTCTCCAGCTCTGCCACGGATCTGTGTGAATTTGCTGCTCATCAAGAGAAGGAAACACTCATTAGCCTCAATAACACTCTGGGAATATTGAATCCAAAGAGAGGTGAAGGGCTGGGGTTGTGTGTTTATTTGTTTTAGGCTTTTATAAAGTGGCTATAAAAACATCTGGGTTGTTGAACAGAGACAGCCAGACACAGACTGCAGTGGGCTGGAGACAACAGCCATCCTCATGTTCCACAGAGGAAAATCTGATCCACAAACAACAATTAACAAAGGCCAGGGGTTAAAATGACTGAGAAGTGGCTGATCTGGGGGGAAGACACACTCCTGGTGCTCCATTAACTCCACTTTTTAATATGCTGTGCCATATAAAAAAGTGGAAGGTCCTGGAAGGTCAGAGTTAAGTCACCCCAAAGCTTCTCTTCTCCAGGCTGAACAATCCCAGTTCTCCCAGCAGAGTTGCTCCATCCCTCTGATCCCCTCTAAAATGAACAATTCCTCCTCCTGAATCCAGAGGCAGTGATTTTAGAGAGGCTCAGCAGAATTCCCACAGCTCCTGGTGTCTCCAGTGCTTTCACCCAACAATTCCTCGTCCTGCAGTGCAAAAGGGAGTTAACAACAGGTTTGATGTGAACTCTCTGTGTGTTGAACTCCAACTGCAATGAGGTGTTTGAGGCCATGGCAGAGGATGTTGTGCAGGAGCACAGGAACTTGAGCTCTGCCAGCAATGAGCTGCCGTTTGTCTGCACTGGGGGATCCAATTCCAGGTGGAGCTTTTCCAGGCTCTGTGTTCCAGCAGCAGCCAGGTTGGGATGTTCATCCCAGACAACACAAGGGGTTCTTTCCCCTTCTCCTCCTGAGAATGGATTGTGCATCAATGAGGGGAATTCAACCAAACCTGGCTAATCCTGCTCTCCAGTTACCAGGAAATGGGAGAAGTCAGAGAGAACTTGAGCTTTCAGGTTCAGACCAGGCTTAGGAAGTGAACAAGGATTAAGACCAAAGTTATGGAAATGGTCCAAGGCTCGTCCATTCCCTGCCCCTGGAGCAGAGCATGCTTTAGGGGTGCCATTCTCACCCTTGTAGAAGAATCCCAAAGGACTGAACCCACACCTCAGTTCTTAAACACGGAGTCACCCCCCCTCCTGTGCCCTTGGTTTGCAGGAGGGATGGGGGAGTCACAGCACCAGGGAATCCTGGAATGGTTTGGGTTGGAAAGGACCTTAAAATCATCCAGTGCCACCCCTGCCATGGGCAGGGACACCTCCCACTGTCCCAGGTTGCTCCAACCTGGCCTTGGACACTCCCAGGGATCCAGGGGCAGCCACAGCTTCTCTGGGAATTCCAGCCCAGCCCCTCACTGCTCTCCCAGGGAAAAAATCCTTCCCAATATCCCATCTACCCCTGCCCTCTGGCAGTGGGAAGCCATTCCCTGTGTCCTGTCACTCCAGGTCCCTGTAAACAGTCTCTCTCCATCTTCCTTGTTGGCTCCTTCAGGTCCTGGAAGGCCACAGTTAAGTCACCCCAAAGCTTCTCTTCTCCAGGCTGAACAAGCCCAGTTCTCCCATCCTTCCCTCCCAGCAGAGCTGCTCCATCCTCTGATCCCCTTGGTGGCTGCACAGAAGGAGCACAAACAGAACTTTCAGAGGAGTGAATTGGTTCTGCAGCCTCAAATCCTTGGAAGTTTCCACTGAGGTGTCTGGTTTTCATATTCAGACCCTCTTGGATCACCTGCCCGTGGCTCCTTTGCTGCTGTGGGGCTCAAGTTAAAACTGTTTTCAGAGCTAACTATAAAATTAATGATGCTTTATAAAAGGAAATCCCCCAAATTGGCCCCCTGTCCTTCACATCCCAGCTGTAAAGAGAAGGTTGCCTTCTGTAAACCCAAAGCAAGTCCTGAGGAGGGAGGGAAGTCCCTTTAATCCTCAGCCCCAGGCAACTGGACAAATTAAAAATGGCAAATCACCTGACAGCTCTGCTTGAAGGATCTTAACCTTCAGCCACTGCCCAATCCTTTAATCAATGGCATTTGGAAGTCATGAATTCTATAGGATTAAACAATTTCCTCTCCCACTTTGTTCCCTTTGGACAGAACATGCAGTTCCCTCTGGACTGCACATGCCTTCAGCTGGAGAACTCACACTCTGTCCCTTCCACAAACCACAGGAACACACAGAGGAGCCCCCTGGCAGACAGAAAATCCAATTTTTGCTTATGACACTTCTCTGGAGCTCCAAGGTGTCCCAGAGCACCAGATGAGCAGTTGGAGTCATCCAGGGTGACCCAAAGCACACCAGGGGGTCCTGACTCCCAGGACAAACCCTTGGCAGGGATCACAGGATAAACACCTCCAAGCAGGAGAGGAAGTTCTCCTATAATTCAGGTTATCACCCAGATGGGTGCCCAAAGGATGCCTGGAAGTTTTTCTACTGAAACATGCTGGAACAGCATCCTCTGATCATCCTTAGATCAGCAGCACTCAAACCAAGCATAAAACCCCCTCCTTTTAGGAGGGACCAGCTCACAGGAGGGTCCATGGTTTGGCACATGCCAAGGGACAGGAATTCCCAGAAGCAAAGCAGGGCCAGTTTGTGTGAATGGGCTGATCCAAGGGGGCTGCTTTGGCCTGATGTTGGATAACCCCTCCCATTTCAGCAGGAATGTTTTATTGCAGTTAATCCACAGCGACTGCAAAGCTCATCAGCTGACAGAGGACACCCCAAGGACACCCCTTTGCTGCCACAGGTCAAGAAAATTCAGTATAAGGAGGTGACTGATGGGTTACACAGCTGAGTTCAAATATTCCTCTCCAGTGTAAACAGTGCAGGTTCGAGTTCCTCCTGTATTTCAGGCAAAAGGGGGATGTGGGTTTTCCACATCCCAGGTGATCTGGTCCCTGAGTTATTTTTTTTTTATTTTGGAGTCTGTCTCAGTTTTTTTCCACGCAACACTTCAAAAGATCTCGGCTCCATCCTGTTGCAAAACAGCAAAAAAGCTGAAAATCCCTAAAAAAATGTGCAGAATGGGAACGTTATTTCCTCCCCAGCTCTATTTCTAAATAAACCTGGAAGGGGGATCTCACACCACTGCTCTCAGGCTGGTTCCATTCAGACCATGGCCCTGTTCAGGGTCATCTGTATTTATTCTATTTCTGGATTTCCAGCTCTCGTTGGGTTCGTTTACAAAGCAGGAGGGATTTCATCACATCCTCCCCGTCAGAGCCCAAGCACAGCAGCCAAAACTCCATCTCTGCTGTCACTGGATGAGTGGGTTTGATGATCCAAGCCCTGCTGACGTTGTTTGTCGGGGGAGTCACGACCCACAACAGCCCTGGGGGGGTTCTCTGGGTGATGTTTGCGGGGCTGGGGGGAATGAGAAGGAAAGTCTCGACCTTGCAGAGCCAGACTCGTGCAAGGAGCTCCTCTCCTGGAGCCTCCAGGCAGCTGCTGGGCTGGGCCCAGTGTCCAGCAGAGCTCTCCTGTTTCCCTGGGCACAACTCTCTCCTTGGGTTTGAGGGCAGGGTTGGGAATGAGCTCCCTGGCATGGGGGCCACTGCCCTGATTTAGGATGGGGTTTCTGGCAGGGTTGGAGCTGAGCTCCCTGGCATGGGGGCCACTGCCCTGATTTGGGATGTCCTTAAAGTATAAAGTGCATGGAATTCATGCTCTTGCAGGT